CCTCAGTCAATTTTTTTTCTACAAACTCCACCACTTGTCTTCCTAGTGCAGCTCTGAGATCTCCTGGCAGTACCCAAATCTTGCCAAGGACCAAACTCGGGATCCTCTTCCTTCTAAGAGACAGCACTGCAAGAGTAGCCAAAGGAAGGAGCAGTGTCCAGCCAATGCTCATATTCCTCACTGAGCACAGACTGCCAGACTAGCGGCTGGCACTAGTCTAGCTCTGGCAACCTCACAATGAGGACAACAGTTTGTCCTTTAAAAGCCATTTTGCAGCCACTCTTAAGATATGCTGGGCATTCCAGACCAATTCTATTAAATGGCTCACAAAGTTAACTGGAAACAGGAAACGTGCTGGACAGAGTCTGTGATTTCTAATACTTACAAAAACTTCTTTGCTTCCAAAGAGAAATTTTCTAAACAATTACAGTGTCTCAGTGCTCCTGGCAATCAGGGAATAACAAAAGATGCCAAATAGATCTCCCCACCTTAAAGAAGTTTTCTATCATCAGAAAACACCAACAAAATAAGAAAATCATAACACTTCTCAGTCAACTTGTTGCCCGAGTTAGAGGGAGTCAAGACAAAATATTAGGCTCTTTCCTGTCTTTTATTTTACTGAAAGATAGAGTTACACGTTGCTTGAGGACACACCCCGGCTGCCAGTTGGCTTGAAATCAATAATTAAAAAGCATTAATTCACTAAGAAGAGGTCCAAAATGAAAGAAAAAATATCACTTAAATTTCAGTAATTTAACTACCTCCTGCATGACACAAGACACATCATTAACTATGAGAAATATGTTTGATTCAAGTATTACAGGATAGAACTGTTGTCATCACCTGAAAAGGAAAAAACTGACATAATTTTCCAGAGACTTAGCCTGCAAAAGGAGTGGTTTAATTTCCTTGCAATGCTACCAGTTTTCTGTATTATCTTAGGAAAGTCACCTCATTTCTTTTTGCTCCAGCTTCTCCTCTACACAGTAGAAATCTCTCCTATCTCGCTGGCACATTGTGATTATAACGGCATCAAAATGTAAAGTACCCAAATGTTACAGAAAGAAAAGATGTCTATAGCACATATGTATCTGGATATGTATAAAGTACGTCTATAGATGCTTACTGTAAGTCCAATTTAAACTTACTACGTAGTTCTTCTGATTTCTTTTGTGTTTCATGTGCTGTCTTTCATTCTGCTCTATTGTATTCTGATGCTTTAGGCAAAAATCCCCTAAGATAATTCCATTGTAAAACCTGCTGAGAAATTTATCTCACTCTTTGTTTTGTTGCATTTTTCAATCTCCCTTCTCTGTTAATCTATAAAAATACCAAAATTAAAGCAGAAAGCCAGATTCTTTCCACATGACTATATTCAGGTTGTAAAGCACTGCCAGCCTCCTCAGGGAAAATTACTTAAGAAGAGCAGAGATATTCAGAAAAATTATTTCAGGTAGCAGAGTTACTTTGCATTTCCCAAGGAGGTCATGCACCTCTAGTGTCAGCCAATACTTCCGAAAACTAAGCCATGAGGAAATACGTGGAGTGGACCTCTTTACAGCACCTGTGCTACAAGACATAGCATCTCAGCATGGTCTGGACAATTTTTATGTGTCAGAAAACACTGAAGAAAACTGTCAAGTCTTCTAATTTATCCAGAAGGTAACAGCAGGTTTGGAGTCAAGGGACTAAAACCCAAATTAGCAAGAAGAAATTGAGGACAGCACACAGCAAAGGGCCTTCAAGCAAAGTGCAAGAAAGCCTGTGGGAATTCCAAGCCAGTATAAATTGGCATACCACTACAGAAGGCTCGTGAGTCTATTGTACAGCAGTAATGCTCCTTCTGCTTTTCCTTCCTAAGTTTATGTAACATGCACTTTGTTCATGTTCTTCTTAAATTAAACCAAATTATTTTCAAACACCTATGATGATTTTTTAAAAAGGCATGTAATGATGGAAAGTGATTATTTAAATTGTTACAGACAACAAATGCATTTATTTCTACTATGCTTATTAGATTATGTAATATTTAGGGTGTGACACTTCCTGAGTACTTGTTCAGCTTTTTATTCACAATAATTTTGTAGGAGATATATGTAAAATACACATGCAGACAAGCACTTAAAATAGTCCAACTAAAACTTTGAAACCTGTAAATTACAGGAAGGAAACTTGCTGATACAACTCAGTTGCTGAGGATTTACAAAAGGAAAAATTACCATGACCAGACAGGCCAGATCAAGAATGCCATCCCACCTGGCTTCCCTTGCCACCATGATAAAGTGTTTTCCAATTTACAGAAAGAATACAGGATTTACATTTCTTAGCACTTTTATGGAGTGTTAAAAGGTACCCTAAAATGGAGTACTTTCTTCATGCCTTTCCTTTGTAGGTACCATGGATACATATAAAAAGGTTCAGCTTATTCAGTTCAGCCCCTGGTGTGATTTTGCACTTCCTTCTTTTTGAGAACTTTTGGTGACCTCGCCAAAATTTGGGACTACATGAGTAATATAGATTACTGTTACCAAAAAGTCTGATATTTTTTCAATTCCCTTTATTTTTTAATTAAAAAAGAAAACTTGGCTTATGCCAAGCAAGTTTATTAGGGGACTTTTAGTCTCTGCATGATTTATAAAGCACTTGCTAGTTCAGAAAGGTTTTTTGGAAAAAGCTTGCTTTATCATTTTCAATAATCTTATTAAAGACTCTGAAAAAGATTTTCCAAAATGCCATGTGATTTGAGGATTCCAAATATGAATTTATCCTTAAAAAAAGTCAGGAATTTAAAAACCCCTAACTAGCATAAATTCCTCAGTTAAAATATCTTCACTATTCCCTGAAGACTAAAATTTTGTTCTGCCAAAATGCTCCTTTGCTCTATTACTGTATAAACAAGAAACATTACACATACCTGACCACCCCAGCCCTACTCACAAATGCAGTGTCTGGTCTGAACAGTTTCCTCAGGATACGCCTATACTAGAGACAAGAGACTCCTTAGAAACCACAAACTGGCTCAGCAAGACAGTTCCAATCTAATTTAAATTTATGAACGTTGACACAACTAAGCGTCCTCATCACTTTAAGACATACAAGTCAGATCAAACCAACAGATCCCTGTTAGAATATAAAAGTCATTGTCACAAGCGTACAGTCACAGGAAAATTTTCTTCTGGGTGCACAACGAATGAAGAAACACTAGTATTTCTCCCTGCTCAAATCTAAGAGCCGTTTGCCAAGATCTGTGGGAGCTGTGGAATCAGAAGCAGCATACTGGACTCCACTAGGCAGACCTACCACACTAATATCACACCTATGGGTCATTCAAAAGAAGAAATAATCCTGGAAGCAAGAAGCATTTGCAAAACTTGACATTCAGAAACCTCTGTAGCAATTTACTTGTAGTTTTTTAAAACAAACAAACAAAAACTCAGACAAACAAACTAACAACAACAAATTAAATCCAACAAAATACCTTTACCTCTCGCAAATAAGCGTGCTGGGGCATCTGCTATTTCTCTTCACAAATAAATATAGCATTTTCTCTAGAACTTTTTTTCAGGGTAAGGGCAAATGGCAGGCAGGGATAATATTCATCGAATTGCAGGAAGATGATACTTGTCCTGTTCCCTGGCCTAGACTATAGTTAGTTAAAAAAACCATGTTTAAGTAACTGATATGCTTAAGATAACACTTACCTTAGAGGTCAGGAACATTTAGAAACACTGATGTACACTTTGACTCTCTCCTGCCTACCTTTGAAGTACATCATGCTAAAGGATCAAATACTGCTTTGGATTTTGAAGAACAGTTTGCAGGATTTAATTGAAATAAAATTATGTTTGAAAAGAAAATAATTACTTCTGTTTTCAAAACAAGCCTTTTAGTTTCACATCTCAAAGACAATTGAATAAACACAATTCTGCTTGTCTGATTTTCATTTTAAACACATTTAGAACTGCGTGACCATGAATATTTTTTTTTAAAATACCACATAATACTGGAATAAATCTACGCATTCTAACAGAAAATCAAAATACAATATAGATAACGGGTCTAATAGCGAATTTAACGTATTGACTACAACTTCAATCAGTTCATGACTAACAGAAGCACGCATTTCTTAAAATATGTTGCTCGTGCCCAGACAAAATGTATTTATACGAAAATCCGCACATTCAAGAAACAGAATGGGTTTGGTAAACCTGTTTGTTTCCACTTCCATGGCACGGGCTCCTGCGGGCCCCCGGCGGCCGCGAGCTGGTCTCCACTGCCCGGCAGGGCGCTGGCTCTCAGTGTTACACTGGGCCGAACGGCTGATAATGCAACTTTACACCGTTTGGAAACTGTTTTTCCCCCCACCCCCCGTCCCTGGTCTTGTCAGAACTTCCAGAAAATTGCCTGTTTACATGGCTATACTCTCCTTTTGGCAGGAGAAGCCGGGTTCTCTACGCCTTGCTGTCCCACAAGGCAGGGCACGTGGAGACAGGGGCTGCTGCCTCCGGCTATCGCTACTTAGGAGGGTGGGACCGCTCGCCTTCTTCCCAAAACTTGGAATTTCGGACTCTGCCGGAGCGCCTGTCGGCGGCGAAGCTTTTACCACCCCCTGAGGCTGCGGGACGTCAAGACCTGGAAAAACTGCGATTAGGGGTGTTTAACAGCACCCGACGCGGCTATCACGGGGCTCTGCCGCGCTCTCTGCACCCACAGGTGCGCCGGCCGGCCGCACTCGGCAGCCAGCACCGCCGGCCCCCGCCCGCTCCTCGGCGTCCCGCTGCCAAGCGGTAGGGCGAGGCCTTCGGCCGGAGCCCCGGGGACAGCCGCTGCAGCACGGCACCCAGCGGGGCTCGGCGTCCCGCCGCCGCCTGTGGGCTCCTCGGAGCGACCGCGCCTCTCCAGCCGCCATCTCCGCCGTGCGGAGCGCGGGGCCGAGCCCTCGGAAAGCCCCTCAGTCCCGTCTCCCCGGCGGCGGGACGCGGGAAGGGGCCGGCGCTCACCTGTGGCTGCCGGCGGGAAGATGCCGCCTCTCTCCGCCGCCGCGGCCCGCGCTGGCGGGCGGCTGCCGTCCGCCGTAGAGGGGTTAAGCACTTGGAAAGCCCATCTTGCCGGGAAGGGACCCCTTGAGGGGTTGATTTGTTCCGCTGCGGGGCACAGCTTGAGGGGCACGGGGTTGGCGGGGAAGGGACGGAGCTGGGCAGGGCTCGGCGCTCCGGCCCGCAGCAAGTTCTCGATGAGGAAACTTTTGCCCAGGTTGCCGAAACCCGGCGCCGCCGGCAGGTTGAGCAGAGCCGAGGAGCCCACCAGGTCCCAGTAAAGGGCGCTGGGCAGCATAGCGAGGGCTTCTACCCTCCTCGCCCTGCCCTACCCAGCCCAGCCCGGCCGTCGCGGCCCCTCACTGGGCTGGGACGGGGAGCCGGGCGATGGGGCCGGGCGGGCTGGCGGGGCGGCTCCCCGAAGGCTGTGGGGAGCGGAGCGGAGAGCTCGGCGACGCTGTCCGTGGAGACGCGGAGCCTCTCCGCCGGGCTGGAAGGTGTGTCCAAGCGCATTCATTATGTCAGCCGGGGACGAGGAGTGATGGACGCGGCCAACAATGCCGCCTTGCCCAGCAGCCCCCCGGGGCGGGGGCAAGGCGGGGAGCCGGGGTGGCTGTCCCGCCGTGCCCGCCCCGACATGGCGGCGGGTCGCGCCGGCCGCCCTGGGGTCCACCTGTGCGAGGGGCGGCAGGGGAAGGGAAAGGCCGCTGGCCTCCGTCCCGGCGGGGAAGAGGCTCCGGTGTTGGCCGCGGAGAGATCATGTCGACCTAATGATCCCATGAGGTAATGAGAAGATAGTCATTAGCTCACTCCCCCTGGGCATTTTTATCTGCCTTTTTTTTCCCCCCTTAGTTAACCACACACAGCATTCACGCTAGATTTTCAACATTTGTCTTAATAAATCTGATTAAGATCAGCTCGGTACTGTTAATCATGTTTTTCTCGAGATGTTGGACGAAGCTTTGCGTGGGCATAAACATTCTTTGTCTGGAATAACTTAGTCCATTTCCACTTCCTTGCATGTATTCTTCTTTATTTACTTACAAATCATGTAATGTGGCAAAGATGTCTCATTTTGCAATTCAAACATGCGTGCAAAAAATTAAAAGTGGATGCTGTTCCAAAGTCCTGAAAGCACCTCCCTGTTTTGCAGAGAAATCCTATTATTTCAAAGCAGCTGTTCACCAGTCTAATTTCCTGCAAAATCCTCTGAAGGAGGTGCAACCCTTATTTTTCTATAGCAGCAGGGGCATAACCCTTGGACATCAGGGTTGTTCAAAGCTAAAACCAGCTGGACTAGTGGAATCATCTGTGCCCTCAGATGAGAAATGGGAAGGATGCCTTAACTGCTGTGGTACTAAGTAATACCTTGGGGAATATAAATTAGATGTTGACATGTCCAAAGCTTTCCTTTACATCTTTGGGTAGGTTGGACCTGCTAGAGTTTTGGCACTTAACTCCATTGGTACTAAGATGTGGTGAATGGGAGCCTAAGAGTTTATAAGGCTGCTTCATGCCAGAGACTCATGTAGCAGTGGCTGTAAGCGGGAAGAAGTAGTCCAAGATGAGTCTGATAATTTTGCCATGATGCATTCCCATAACTGTTCTCAGCTTAAACAATTTCCACAGCTTGAGCACTTGTATTTGCAAATCTGAAGGCCTTCACCAAAAGATATTAATGCAGTATATTACTTGTGAGCATTTTGAGACTCTTGCTTCTTGCTGTAGAATGGACAGAATCCAAGCTGTTGTATCCCAGACTACATCTGAAGCTACTGTCCATTGTTGTAGTATAAGGTGCAGAAATTTTGTTTCTAAGTCTTTCCAGGAGGACACCTGCTTCTGAGCATTGCAAGTAGCTGCCTTTCTAATTACCCCTCATAAATTTACTCACACTTAAGGATTTATTTGGTCTTTCATTTCACTGATCAAATTCTCAGAGAATTCCCAAGGGCCCAAGACACTGAAAACCATAATTCAACACTTGGGAAGTGCAGTTAGTCCATCCAACTGTGCTGCATGAATAAAAGGTACTCACCAAGGAAATGATGGTTATCAAAGACTGTAGCCTTCAAAGACAGACTTAGGTTTGGTTTCTTCCAAGGCTACTTTTGATGCCAGAGTGGCTATTAATGTGTTTATTTCAGCTGTGCAGTTCGGTAAAGTATGATTCTGTGAAATATAAACACAACACATAGAAATATAACACAACACACTTCTGAGTTGGAAGGGACCCTCAAAGGTAGCATTTGACTGCATGGAAAACATGATGAGTTAACAATTCATGTCAGGTTGCATCTCTAGTTCCAGGGTTTAACCCATGCCTTACAATGCGTGTTTAAGAAGTCCCTTTCTTCTGATTTTCAACTATCAGTGGCCTCTCACCCTTTTTCTGACTCTGCTGTCATAGCTGTACTTAAAAACCACTGCGAACCAAATCACAAGACTCAGGTTTTAAATAAGACAGGAAATATTATTTTTCAAGAGATTCCCATTGGAGATCTCAAACTGTTTGTGTGATGTTAAGCAAGGGTGGTAGAGCAGAATAGCAAAATGAACTCATTAAACCAGGGCACTTGGTCTCTGGGACACACATCTGCAGCTCTGCTGAGAAGTAGCTACCAAATTCTATCTATCTTCTGGGCATGTGATAATTCAGTACAGTCAGGTGCAAGAGTTGCTACCTGTCAAAAGTTGAAGAGCACAGCACAGGAAAATATAGATTCCTTGTTCAAATCTGGAGTATGAAATCATTTTAGAGTAAAACAAGTGGCATCCCTAAAATCCAGAAGCTTTCTGGTGAATGCAGCCTGGAATTGCATGACAAATGGATCCTTAGCCATAGACCTGAAAAGTTGTTCGATATGTATTATCCAGATACATTCAGAAAGTAGAGATGACATTCACACGGTGAGTAGCTCTCATTTATTTTCATTTGATTATGCAAATTTGGAAAGTACTTGCTCTGCATTTGGATTTTGTCAATTTATTAATTTACCTTAATCAGACTAAAGGAGAAGAAAGTTTGCCTTCACTGGGTATCTTGGCTTGTATCAGGTATTTGATACACTTCTCAGATTGCAAAACTTTAAAAATGGGGTACATGGAATATACTTGAAATTCTCAGCACTCAGTTAAGCCTTCCCTACTCAGAGTCCAGAGTACAGACTGGCAGACAATTTATGTAACATACCAAGCACAAGATCTGTGCAAGTACATCAACGTCTCCCTAATGATCCTTCTTCTACATCTGCTCTGCCCTTTCTCAGATGGCATTTCCATCCTTGATCCAGGGACTTTCCCCCTTGCAACTCCTTCCCTGGAGTAATTCACATGAAGCTGAATCCTGCCATTACTTCAAACTTCAAACTTTTCTTACAAACCTTTCTGATGCTTAATGGAAGGCATGCATATTGGCAGCCTCTACATTTTTTTGTGAGATTTACATGTGATTTTTCTGCAAGCTTTTTTTTTTTTCCTGAGGTTTGAACAGCTAACATTTAGGTCTGCACTCCAGTAAATCCGCATCTCTGGCCTTTGTCCTTGTGGCGGACTTCAGCTTATCAGATGTGTGCTGGAAATGCAAAACAGTGTAGAGGAAACAGTCAAGGAGCTTCCTGGACTGCGTGGAAGATAACTTCCCCACACAGCTGATGAGTGTACCAGCTGGGGAAGCTGTCCTGCTGGACCTGCTGTTTGTGAACAGAACGATGTGGGTCATGTGATGATCAGCAGCAGTCATTACATGATAGAGTTTTCTATTCTTGGAAAACTAAGGAGGGGTCTTAGCAGAATTGCTGGCTTGGGCTTCCAAAAGTCAGGCTTTGTTCTTTTTAGGAGCCTCTTTGGTAGAGCCACTTGGGAGGCAGACCTGAAGGGCAAAGGATTCCAGGAAAGCTGGATGTTCTTCAAGAAGGGTCTTTTAAAGACACTGGAGCAGGCTGTGCCGTGTGCCATGTGCCGAAAGACTGGCATGACTGAACAGAGAGCTTTGTCTGGAACTCATGAAAAAAAAAGGAGAGTAGGTGACCTTTGGAACAAGGGCCAGGCAGCTTAGCAGGACTACAAGGACATCGTGGGGTTTTGCAGGAAGTAAATTGCAAGGACCAAAGCCCAACTAGAACTTAACCTGTCTACTGCATAAAAGACAATAATAATGTTCCAATAAATACCTTTGTGACAAATGTGGGAAGGGCCATGGAGGCTCTCCATCCTTTATTGGATGGGAGGGGAAACACAGAATGAGGAAAGAATAACAAAGAATAACAAAGAATGAGGAAAAGGCTGAGGTGAGGTAATCAATGCCTTCTTTGCCTCAGTCTTAAGTAGTAAGAGCAGTTGTTCTCTGAGTATCCAGCCCCCTGAGATGGGAGACAGGGACAGGGAGCAGAATGAATCCCTGATAATCCAAGGGGAAATGGTCAGTGACCTGCTACACCACTTAGACAGATGCAAGTCCCTGGGGCTGTATGGGATCCACCCAAAGGTGCTGAGCTGATCGTGGCTTGGACTGTTTGTGGGGTGAAACACTGCCTGGATGGTCGAGCCCAGAGACTGGTGTCTAATTGAGGCCAACTGGTGGCCAGTCATTGGGGGGCTTTCCTAGGGCTCAGTATTGGGGCCAGTCCTGTTTAATATCTCTATCAATGATCTGTACAAGGAAATTGAGTGCACTCTCAGTCATATTCCAGGTGACACCAAACTGAGTGGAAGAGTTGGTCTGGTGGAGGGCGCAAAGGCATCTGGACAGGATCTGCCCATCTTGCATTGATGGGCCAAAGTCAATTCTATGAAGTTCAACGAGGTACTTTGTACTGGGTCATGCATTTGGGTCACAACAAGCACATTCAGCACTACACACTTGGGGGAAGAGTAGTTGGGAAGATGCCTGACAGAAAAGGACCTGGGGGTGCTGTTCAACATCCTGATAAGCATGAGCCAGCAGAGTGGTGATCAACAAGGCCAGTGGCATCCTGGCCAGTATCAGCAAGAGTGTGAGCAGCAGGGCCAGGGCAGTGATTGTCCCTCTGTACTTGGGATTGATGAGGCCGTACCTCAAGTGTTGTGTCCAGTTCTGGGCCCCTTACACAACAAGGAGATTGAGGTGCTGGAGCATATCCAGAGAGGGCCAACAGAGTAGCTGAAGAGGCTGAAACTCAATTCTTATGAGGAGTGGCTGAGGTTGTTTATCCTGGAGAGAAGGAGGCTTAGAGGAGACCTTATCACTCTCTACAACTTCCTGAAAGGAGGTTGCAGCAAGCTGTGGGTCAGTCTCTTCTTCCAAGTAGCAAGCAATAGGACAAGAGAAATTGGCCTGAAGTTGTGCCAGGGGAGGTTTAGATTGGATATTAGAAAAAAGTTTTT